GCGGGATGCATTTGGATTCTTCGCCCGAGCTCTGAGCAAACCCTTCCGAGTCAGCGGACCTACGTGGGGTTTCCATTTTTTTGGATGGCCGTGTTTTGTTGGCGCACTACACAGGGGTATACAGCAAGGCTGTGTTCAAACCTTGCTTCATAGTCTCGTCTACCCAAAAACATACAAAAGGACTTGGGGGAGATCCAAGGTTTTGTTGAAGCTTGTGCGGGTAGAACAAATGGGAACTGTCGCCCGTGTCGGGGCCTGGATGACGCTCTTTGGCTGACTTTTTTTCTCACGAAATGTGACTGGGCCCGGCTTTAGTTCAACCTCCGGACCCTGTTGTGAGGCCGCGGAATAAAACATATCCCAAGCGCTTACGTGAGTTCACTGACCTGGAGTCTCCTTCTGACCCTCGCTGGTGCCGTTCAAAAGAAATGGACGTCCACGATTGAAGCTCAGAAGCCTGTCCGTTTTCTGCCCGATCGCGGATCGCTAAAAGTTACCCACTTGCGGGTGAAACGAAAACACCCAACCACTAAGACAACGAGAAAATCCTGAGGACCAGGACGCTTCGCTGGTTCCGAACCAAGGAAGGAGACTCCAGGCTTTTTTTGAGCATCGGCCACTCGAAAGCCCAAGGGCTGCGGAAAAACTCCTTGTGAACGCCCGGTCCCTGAACACACCAACCACCCCTCCCCCCACCAAACACCCAAACACACCCCCTAGGGGAAGACGTGTGTTGGGTGGCGTGTTTTGGGGGGTAGCGCTAGTATGGGATGCTCACTTGCCCAATTTGGCCCCCATTTTTACAAGGTTGACCTTGTGACGCCATGACCAGAAATGGGACCTGAAAGGGGGAAACCAACAGGTCAAGAGTCAAAAGGTCGATTCGCTTTTGGGCGACTGAAGCTGATCACGGTTCCCTTAACAGACCCTTTGCATTGACCTGGGTTGCCGGTTAGATAGGTGTTCTTTGCTTGTTGCTTTGTTTTGTTGGGAAACAAAAAAGGAAAAGCACACCTCAACTGGTGGGCCCAACCTTAAAGAAAAGACACCAGAGACTCGTAGCGAACGAATCCTTTGGGATCATGTTTTCCGAAACCAGTTTCAAGGAAAGCCCTTTTGGCGAGGAAACGCATAGCAAGGCCACCGAATCCTTGACGCACCCGGAAGGTGTGAGACTTCGTGTCAGATCTTGATCCTCGGGCAGTCTACCCTCCCGCCTTGAAACACCAACAACAGGCACCCAAGAAGGGCCTCTCTTCTTTTTATGGGTAGGTCTTCTTTTGAGGGGTACCCCGTTTTTGGTGGGTGTTTACACAGGTAAACCAAACGGACACCCAAAGCCACTTTTTGCAGGGGTCCAAAACCTAACAAGGACACCCAAAGCCATGATGAAACCGCGGCCTCCCTTGGGTCGTGAGTTCCTTGGCCTAAAAGACGGGGACGTGGAATCACTGGGACTATTCTTCACACAACCTCGTGTCAGTTTCGCTTTGGGGACGGGCAGAAAAAAGACACGCACATGCTAATGCTCAAAACCCACGTGTTCGAAGACGACCGTGTCCTTACGGATCTAGCGGCTCCTTAGCTCCTCACTTCCTGAGCGGACTGGCCCAAAAAAGCTCAGGAACTTCTAACTTATTTCTAAAATGGCAACCACACCCTCAAAGTGACACTCAGTCCGAAACGGAACTCAGCCTAGACCCTCAAACTACCCTTAGAAAAATGGAGCGTCTTGCCAACAGAATGTTTGGTGGTTCTCCTGCTTGGGTCGTTTCTTCGGGGTCTAGGCACCTCCTCTCAACGCCATTTTCGGATCGCATGCTGCAAGGCCTCGACGAGTTCGGGGGCCCCGGAGCAGGCTCTAGGGTAACCCCCCCCCCCAACCCCCGGCAAAAATCCAAAAAAAAAACGGTGTTCCTTTTGGCTTCCCGTTCACCAAACCCAACAAGGGTACCCTTAACCAAAGCAACCGAGCCATCCATTCGTTGATTTCGGGGTTCCGAGTGGTTTCCCAACCGCCCGTCCGAGCTCTCGGACAATCTTGGCAGATCTGCCCATGGATTCCGACTCACAAGAAAGGCGTCAGCCCGAATGGGAGAAGGGTCTTAAAAGCCCCCTAACATGTGTTTGGTTTCTTACAAAGTCACCCCATGCAGAGTATCTCAAACAAGAGCAGGGTACTCGAGAAAAAATAATAATTGGGGATGATATAAACATGTTAGATGCCCTTGTGGGTCTCCTTTGGCACTTTCCAAGAGAATCTACCAGTGGGGCATCCCAGACAAATTTTAGAGATCTCCTATGCACTAAGATGGAACGCGACTAGGGGAATCCTTCAAACCAATTCTCCTCTAAAAGGGATCCTTTGGCTTTGACTTCATGTTCGTGGATGGGAGTTTTTTGCAGGACTCTTTGAGGTGTCTCTAGGGGGTTCTCGCTTTGTCAGATCTATCAGCTTGATCTCCGTGGCTCGATCCAACTCGAAGCGCCGAACTGGTTCGGGACCCTGTCGGATCCCAGAAGTCGGGGGTTGGTTGAAGCGGAGAAAATATATGGTGGTTGAAGGAACCCTCATCATGTAAACATGGTGTCCATTTCCCTTTAAAAACAAGCAGCAGACGCCTTCCCTTCGGCCCCAAAATGACCATGGGCAACTGTTCGCAATTTAGCAGTTGAAATATCATCCTTCTCTCGTGATTTTCCAACCAATGGTCATCCCATCAACCCCCATTTAGAGAAAGCGGAAAAAAAAACAAAAAAAACGAAGGAGTTCGACATGAGGAAAGGCCAACAAGGCAACCAAAGGCAAGAAGCTGAGCTGATTCTGTCAGATGGTATCTGCGGCGTCTTTTCTTCTTGGCATCTCTTCAGGAGGCCGAACGAGAGTTTGAACAAATCGGGGCACACCAGCAATTGGCTTCCTCTTGGTTTCCTATCTCAACCCTTGGGGTTCCCTCAACATGGACCAAGATGGACCAAGACACGGTCAAAACTTGGTTGCTGTTGGTCTTTTCCAGGGACCCTTCCTATGGGTCCAAACCCCCGGTTAGCCCCCAGTGAGCATCCGATTCAATCCCCCACTAAAATAGGTTCTAAAATGGGTGCTGCACCGAAAACCCCAAAATGGGATCCCATTGGTTTTGAGCCACAGCCATTCTCTTGGTTGCTGTTGATCCCTCTGCAAGAAGCTGTCAACTTTTGGTGGATTCGATCCGAAAAATCCATCATTTCCCCAAAAAGTTAAGGTCCAAAGAACCAACCAAATAGCCATAAACAAAAGGTCGATTTGCTTTGGGCAGGTGAGTAATGGTGTGACCATTTTAAGAGTTGGAACACTCTAAAAAAGGCTTGGACGCAAATCCATTGGACTTTCCGTTTGGTGTCCCTCTAAAACCTCCAAAAAAGGGGTACCCTCAAAGAATACACGCCCATATGTAGGAGACCCCAGGCATGTGGAAAAGGGTGCAGCTTACAAAGGTCCTAAAACGTCTGTTAGTTGATTGCTTGGCATTCTGAACTGGCTCAGTTTGTCACGCCCTTCGTGTGGCTTCCAGAAAAATGGCTTCTCTCAAAATAGGGAAGCGCCCGAAATGTGCGGCAGCCGGTTCTGCCTTTGACCATGTTTTGTGGGGAACCCAAACAAACAAACAAACAAACAAACAAACAAATAAAACAAACAAACAAGCAAGCAAGCAAGCAAGCAAGCAAGCAAACAAAAAAAAAGCAAGCAAGCAAACAAACAAACAAACAAACAAAAACAAAACAAATAAAGAAACAACAAGCAAAAACATACAGGTGCAAAGAGGTGACTTTACCATGTGGAAGCGTGGCTTTAGACCAGGCGACGAGCGATGCAGAGCGTCTCCCGTTGCAAAAGAAGGAACCCCGGCAAAAAGCATTGGGAACTGTGGATGGACAAAATCCGCTCGCAGCAATTAGGAACCGGGTACCCCTAAAGCCACCAAACCCCCGCGCCGTTGTTTTGACATTGCAAGACGGGGGCATCCATGGAGGGCGTCTGTGCGCCGTCGTCCGGTCCCTGGCCAATTTCGGGTTTCTGCTTCGGACTTGTGGATTTCTGTGTTGACAAAGCGGGCACCTCCTGGAGTCTCCTGACCGGAAATGAACATGGGGTTATAATGCAAGGTGTCCCCCGTCTCAAAGAAGGGCCAGAAGGAGACTCCAGGTATCTAGACCCTCAAACTACCTATACAAATAATTGGTGATTGCCAATCAAGTTAATGGGGGTCTCTGTTTGAAGGGTACTTTGAGGGTCCAGTCAGCCTTATGTTGGTCGATTTTGAGGGGTAGCCTCTCCAAACAAAAAGAAACAACCGGCCCGGGCCGTGACTCGATAGTTCCACAGCGGCGACCAAAGGGCTTCATGGGGAACAGGTTTAATGGGAGAAATTATATGGGGGGGTGTCTTTACTTGAGGGCGCCAGTTTTTTGCTTTACCTTCAAGTGCTTGGTGTCCTCTTGGTGTCCCCGTATAAAGGGTCCCTATTTTGAGAATATTGGGTGGGCATCACATTTTTGTCCAACAAAGATCAAAGTGGGCAGGCTGGAAGTCTTCCCTCCGTTGGAAATCAGGGTAACCGGGTAGAGGCACTGCCACCACCACCCCCGACCGAGGAAATAACAAAAGGGGCTAAACAAGTACTAGCGGGCTGGGATCCCATTTTGGGTTTCGGTGCAGCACCCATTTTAGAACCTATTTTAGTGGGGGTTGGGATGTTCACTGGGGGTACGATTTGGGTTTGGACCCATGGCCATATTCAGTCCAGTTGTTGTTTTCGTGACTCCAGCAGCGTTGTCATGACGAAACTGGGCCTGAACATAGCCCACTCCATTCTAATCAGTCCCCGTCAGGCTGAATGCCTCCGGTGACTGGCAGCAAACCTTTGGTGGGCATTATTCCGGAGGCTTTATGGCCGGAATCGAGTGCTTTCCCTGTTAAACTGCATGGCCAAATTGGAACTGAGGAGTCTTAGGGGACT